ACCCGGAGGAGGCTGACCCTGTGCGATCTAATGGGTCTTTGGGAGGTAATTGGCAGCAGGCGGTCTCTCAAGTACCCAGGAAGCTTCATCATTGGAAGCTTTCAAGAAGAGACTGGACTGCCATCTGACAGAAATGATTTAGGGTCTGCTTGGCTGAGGTTGGACTAGATGACCTACAAGGTCCCTTCCAACTCTGTTAATCTGTATCTATAATATTCCCAGTAGTGATTTCAAAGTAGACATGATTATTTATATGACCGGAAATACTGTTACAAGGTCACGCTGGTATCCAATTACTATTGTCTTGTAACCCACTGAAGTTGGCAAACTATATCTTGCCATTTAAGAGTTCTGACACCATTTATTCTATTCTTTTTAAAATCATATGATCTGTCTTATTTAAATCAAAGAGGTGGAGAGGTGGAAGGAGAAAATAGAGGAACTACTTTGGAGATAAATGTGGGGCAGTGTTTCACGGGAAACTGATAGCTCTCCTACAGAGATATGCTCACTCATTATGCTTCTTTAACAGCATCTCCAGAAAGATTGTTATTACTTGATCCATGACCATTCACTTTTAAAGCTCCACAAGGCAAAGAAAATTGCAGGAGAATCTCTGCTCCAGTGATGGCCAACTTTCTGTGCAGCTTACAAATGTGATTAAAATATATGTCCCAGTGTTATTAGCTTGAGTTTTGCAAGCAGGGGTTTGGGCCATTCAAAAAATTGTTGCACTTCTGTCTGTCTAGTGAGAGCTAGTGGTGATAGGAGCCCTCATCTTTTTTTACAAGTGAAGAATTGTTTTCTCTAGTAAAGTTTATGATGATGGTGATGATAATGTTATGCAATCCATTGTGCCTGGCTCTGGGTGAGTCTACCAGCCAGGTCTCTCCACATCTTCCTATCTTGGATTATTTCTTTAAGTTTTTCTATGCTTTGGCTGGTATCAGTTTGATGGCCTGGTTTCCTTTTAACTCTTGCAAACATATTTGCTTTCTCCAGTGAATTCCCCCACATGACATGGCCAAAATAAGTGAGACACAATTTTGTCTATTTGGCTTCCAGTGACATTTAGAATTCTTTATTGGCCAAGTGTGATTGGACACACATGGAATCTGTCTTTGGTGCACATGCTCTAAGATTGCATAAGGAGAATAAAATACGTTCATCAAGAATAAAAGATACAACACTTAGTGATAGTCAAGGTTACTAATAAGTTATCAAACATACTAATAAACAAATAAAACAATATAAATTGAAAGATACAAGCAACATGGTTATGGTCATAAGTGGGAAGAGATAGACTAGGAAGAAAGAATAATAGTAACACAGTCTTAGTAAATTATTTGAGATTGTTGTGAGAATTAGTTGTTAAGCAGAGTGATGACGCTCAGGTAAAAACTGTCTTTGTGTCTAGTTGTTCTGGTGTGCAGTATTCTGTAGCGTCATTTTGAGGGTAGGAGTTGAAACAATTTATGTCCAGNCCCATCTTCTCCCTTTCCCATTGTTGTCTGTGTAATAAAAAATAAAAAATAAAATAATAATAATAATAAAAAAGAATACCAGAAACATGTCAATCTAGACTCAACTACTTTGAGGCCAGATTGCCATGTTTTCACTATCCTTTCAATTCAACAAGAATTACACTCCGTAAAATCAAAGAATTGTGTGACTCTGTACACAGCCTTAAGGATAATGCTTAAATGGCCTGAGGGATGTCAGACTAAACTTCAGATATCAGCATTCAGTGTTGCTTACTATAAGATTATTTGAGGAGAGTTTCACATAAGTTTACCACTGGTTCACCCCACGCACGCACACTTCATGAGTGCACATGCCTTCTGTGCATGTGCTTTGCTAGTGCATGCAGCTTGCACACATGCACGTGGCTTGGAAAATATGGCTAAATAGGACGGCATAGAACCGGGGCGGGTGGGCAGGCCAACCCGCAGGTAACAACTACCAGTTCACCTGAACTGGTCCAAACCGGCTGAATAACACCTCTGAAGATTATGCTTATTCGGTATAAATGAAGGCCTCCCAAAGTCAAGCTGTGTTAATCCAACAGAAAAAGGACAGCTAGTTAGGAAAGACTACCATGCAACTTTTGAAAAGCCAACCAGAAATATAAATGGAGAATTTACAGTCAAGTTGTCAAGAATCCCATCTGTGACTCAGTTGGGCAGTTTCGTATTGAACTAAACACACTGTCTGGTCTCTTTGCGAGTAGCTCCAAGACTCTATGGGAATATAAGACCTAGATATTGGCCATAACCTTTTAAATCCTCCAAAGATAGCGCTTCCTAAGAAGAGTATGATAAAATAACTATTGCATGTACACTTAATTTGTTCCTTAATCCTCGTAAAGATCAAGAAAAAGATCATATCCAGATAACCAAAGGATTGACATACACTAAATGTTTTACCATTTGAACTAGCAAGGAAAGTTGCATTTATATCTTTCTTAAATTTGTAATACCTCATGTTTTCTAGAATATTGAATGAAAATGTTTATTATGATTTAAGCAATAACAGTTTTCAACTGCCTTAAATTCAATATGTCTTCAAACATGAATCCTCTGTATATATTAAGGAGTGCCTTAGTAAGACCACCTCCAGAATACTGCATCCAGTTTTGGTCACCATACTATAAAAAAGATGTTGAGACTCTAGAAAGTATGCAGAGAAGGGCAAGCAAGATGATTAGGGGACTGGAGGCTAAAACATANTTAATCCTTGGCATCACTAATCAAGGAGAGAAGCAACTTAGAACTGAGGAGAAATTTCCTGACAGTTAGAACAATTAATCAGTGGAACATCTTGCCTCCAGAAGTTGTGAATGCCCTAACACTGGAAGTTTTTAAGAAGATGTTGGATAGACATTTGTTTGGAATGGTATAAGGTTTCCTGCCTAGGCAGGTGGTTGGACTAGAAGACCTCCAAGGTCCCTTCCAACTCTGCTATTGTATTGTATTGTATTGTATTGTATTTAAGCAGATCGGATACAGGTGGTAGTAGGGAATCAGCTGCTTCAGAATCTGAAGAGATACCTCCCACCAAATAAAAATATATAGCAGAGTTATAGTTTAAAAAAAATTGTATGACTGGTAGTAAGTTTGGTATAGTGATGAAGTTGCTGCCCTAGAAACCAGGAGACCGTGAGTTCTAGTCCCAAGTTAGGCATAAAAAGTGGCTAGGTAACTTGGGGTCAATCACTCTTTCTCAGCCCACCTTACTTCACAGGGTTACTATTGTGGGAAAAATAGGAGGAAGAAAGAATATTATGTAAGTTCTCCACCTTGAGCTATTTATACATGGATTAAAAAAGTAGGTGAATGAATGAAAATGCTTGTTCTGTTTTCTTTTATGTTAAATAGCTATTTCAGATGTTCAAATTACTTCTTCATAGATATAATCTCATCTGAGAATGAAGTGGATTTCTTATGGCCACCTGCTAAATGAGCTTTTTAGCCAGTCGCTTCCCACTTCCCACTCCTAACTTTCATGTAGTCATACATATGTAGTCATACATATAAATCCAATAAACAAACAAACAACAAACAAACAAACAAACAAACATAGAGTTTTCATGCAACTTTGATTCTATGTGCCACTATTTTGAAAAAGCAACATTAGACCTCATTCTACCAAAATACATTCTGAAGCAGAAATACAACATTCTTGCTAAATCCAATGACCAAATATTGTCCAACCACAGCCAAAATATTCATATAAGAAAATATTAATGTCCTAATAATGTCATGTTTTTATATATAGCAAGGAACATGTGAGACACATATCAAACATAGAAAACACAGGTCTCCTAGTGCACATAGAAATCTAGGCAAATATTGCTAAATTGATTCCCTTAAATTTTGTAATAAAGTACACGAGTCAACTACAATTTCAGTTTTAGTGAATTGGTTATATTCCTCATGGAAACACAACAGAAATTAAGAATCTAGAAAAAATGCATATATACATACCAGCATTTGAGAGATAGCGCACATTTCTCATTACTCCTTCAGTGTAGGCTCCTGTCTCATAATTATCCATCTCACCAGAGACAATGTCCACCACTCTTGCTGCCCTCCCACGGATGGCACCAGCTGCACGGTCCAGCTCATCAGCATTCTGCTCTCTTAGGGCAATAATGCACTTGTTTACGTCCTCCAGAATATGACTTTCTATAAGAAAATGAGATCACAGAAGTTTACTTTGACCAAGTGCCTTGATTAGTTTCTTTTCTGCCAATAAGACAAATGAATGAAACCAATTGATTTATGTTATAGCCCAGGGGGCCAGATCTGACTCTACTGGTCCGTGGTGCCTCTACCAGCGTTATGGAGCTTGCGAGGGCTGTATGCAGCCCTCCCAAGCTCAGTTTCGCTGTTAGAGGGATGCAGAAGGCCCATGCAGCCAAAAATGGAGCTTGTGAGGGACACACATGGCCCTCCTGATCTCTGTTTTTGCTGTCAGAGAGTTGCAGGAGGCCATTGCAGCTGAAAACGGAGTTGGGAGCCCATTTTCTCTGGTAGAACACTCGGACCCCCACAGGCTCCCCCGACATGAGTGAAGCTGGCCATGCCCACCCTGGCCTTGCCCACTCCAACACCCCCAAAGCCAAACACAAACCTGATGTGGCCCTCAATTAAATTAAGTTTAACATTCCTTTTACAGCCAAAATTTCATATAAGTACTGGGCAAAATATAAACAATATATTGTACTGGAATTCTTTAAAGATCTATACATAAATGTCCATGAACTCTTATGGATATTTTGCAAAGTTTTTCTTCTTTTTCTGTTTTTTGGAGGCATATGTCGGTATTTACATTTCATAATAAAATAAAAGCAGTAGTTTAATATGGTATGAGCACATGCTTCAATTGTTTATTTGGTTTGTTATATTTTCAACCTAATCTATCATTTTCAATTTCCAACTCCTGGGAAGGTAGTTGGAAGGAAAATTACTGTTCCAATAACACCCAATAGACACTGCACCTAAGTAAATGTAAAATCCTCAAGTTAGTATTATATGTTTTAAGATTGGCTAAAACTTGCTACAGTCAGAAAGAAAATCTATACCAAGCCTTCACAAAGGTAATTAAAATTAGAATAATTAATCAGCAGCTCATAATCTTTTTGTAGCCTTAATTTCCTGCATTATTCGTGTTCAATCTATATAAAAGCCTCTCTTCGGACCAAATGTAAAACTTCATCCAACATACTAATCTGTAATACAGGAATTACAGACAACTTTTCAGTTGCTCTACGTAATTAAAAGTGTTCAACTAAGAATGTTCATTCCAGTCTACAAGACAATCTGATTGGCAGACTTGTGATAAAGCTTCAATTCAATTCTAATGAGTAGACACTTTCTGTGTTGACAGACATAATCTATGGCAAGCAGAGCAGATTCAACCAAAAATAACTCATGCTCTGAGTGAGAAAAACCCATACCAGAGAAGGCTATGTTTCTGTAGATCATGAAAATGTTTGCCCTTATCTCTTCATTTACTTCCTAAACACCCTTCTCGTAACACCCCCCTGCAGCAGAACAATAATGGGTTAAAAATAATCTATAACATCAAGGGAGAAAACACACTCCCATAGCAGGGCAGTATGAAGCCAACAGTTCTGCTTCACATAGTAAAATATAGATCAGTGCTGTGTTCCGAGATGTCTTTCATAACAAACAATGTGTCAAGCGCTGGGGAAAGCAGGCGATTCAGTCAGTTCAAGTGAGTATAAAGATTTATTGCAAGCTTAAGCTCTCTACAAAAATCTGACCAACTAATGGTCAAGGAAAATGAGGGGGAGAAGATAAGAGAGGCATTCAAGGTGAGCTGGTGTTGTTGGTTTTTTTTTTACTGTTGTTTTGATTTGCTTCTCTCTTTCTTAAAGCGTGGCAATTAAAGTATGGAAGCAGGCAAGGGACAATGGATTGGTAATTTCATTTTTTGTTGTTATTCTGATTTGTCCTTTTTTTTCTCTTTCTCTCTCTCTCTCTTTTTTTTTTAGGTAGGTGACATGATTAGAAGTTAGATAGGAAAGAAAGATAAAGTTGTTTAACAAAGATTGATATGATTAAAACCTAGGCTTGTGACTTATGACACGATTGACCCTTCCCTCGGGCTCAGCCTGGTCATCTCCTACACAATGACTAATCCTATATCACTCTAGCTCAGTGTCTTTCAACCTTGGCAACTTTAAGACATGTGTACTTCGACTCCAGAATTCTGAGAATTGAAGTTCCCATGTCTTAATGTTTCCAAGGCTGAGAAACACTGTGGTAGTTACTTCATGCCTCTGACGAAGGGAGATGCTTATGCTTTCTAATAAAGTTGGCTAGTCATAAAATATGCTATAAGACGTCTTCTGATTTTTAACACAAAAAATATCTTAAAGTGAGTACTTATTAACAAAGAAATTCACAGAACAAGGGACCTAGTTGGTTTACGCACATAAGCCCTGCTCTAATTAAGAAATGCATATCATAACCTCTGCTGGGTTTTAATATTACCTCAATAGAAGAAAATGAGCAAGGCATGTTGAATAAGATAATAAAACAATTGTTCAGTAATAGAACAATGCAGAAAAGGACAGAGCTCACAGCAGTACTTATCTGAAAGTTCTAAAGTACCTTAATGATATTTTTAGAGAATTCTGTACAAAAGCCAGATTTGATAAAGAGCTTCCTCATAGAAACACCACAGTGCTTGCAAGACAGAAGACAGAATATAAGATAATGGAGTCAGAAAGGATCTTGGAGGTCTTCTAATCCAACTCCCTTCTCAAGCAGGAGACCCTATACCAGGGGTAAACAACCTTAAACACTCAAAGAGCCATTTGAACCCATTTCCCACACTGGGAGCCATAAAACCCTTCCAATGCCTGACTATTTCCTGAGCACCCATAGAACTAACATATGAATTTGAATTAAAGGTTCGTTTTTCTTCTGAAACTTTTCTTTTCTTGGATTTTCACATGGTTGGCCTACTGGGGGTTGGAAAACTCAATAAATCATGTGCTGGCAGGTGTTCCACATTGGTGGTTGTGGCACATATTTTGAGTGACAGGGAGCTGCAGCAGAGGGATGAAAGAGCCACATGCAGCTCCAGAGCTGTGGAATGCTGACCCCTGCTCTATACCATTCCAGACAAATGGCTGTCTAGCCTCTTCTTGAAAACCTCCAGTGATGGAGTACCCATAACTTTCAGACACAAGCCCTTCCATTGATTAATTGTACTCACTGTCAGGAAATTTCTCCTTACTTCTATGTTGAATCTCTCTTTAATGATCTTCCACCCATTACTTTTTGTCTTGCCCTCAGTGCTTTGGAGAATAAATTGACTCCCAATTCTCTATGACACCCACTCAAAGTACTGAAAGAAAGCTGTCATATTATCCCTAGTCCTTCTCTTCGATAGGCTAGACATACCTAGCTCCCTCAATCATTCATCAGATGGTTTAGCCTCCAGATGTCTTATCTTTGTGCTCTTCTCTGCACCGTTTCTAGGGTTACAGCACCTTTCTTGTATCATGGAAACCAGTAGTGGTCATGATGTCCTCACAAAGGTGATGCAAATGATGTAAAAAAAAAAAACCTCACAATAGGTGCTGTCTAGGGGAATGCTGGCAACTTGACGTTCTAGCACTTCCTAGTAAGGAAATAGTTCATTAACACGATAGAATGGGAAAAGTAGCTTGCCCTTGACATGCAGCAGGCCAAATGGTAAGAGAGGGGGGGGGGGAGAGGAGTAGATAAGTAAAGCTGAGTTGAAGAGCACCTTGCAGTCATAAGTACCAGCAGGATGCCCAGCTTCCAGATTTTGATCACATGATCACAGAGGTGCAGCAATGGTCACAACTTCAAGGATCAGTCATAACTACCATTCGATCTGCCATACAGCTATCCAATAATGGGACATTATTCTGGAATGTGGCATTATCTCCCTCCAAGATTAGACTTGCCCAGATCCTATTAGTCTCCAGAAAAGTTTTGAAATTTTCCCTGCTTCTTTCCATGTTAGGGATATCTTGCGCCACAAGACGGAGTGTATATTGATGTGTCCTGACTGTGTTATTGATTAATTTATCAATTTCACATAGCTGCCCATTTCACCCGGAGCATTTCTGGATTATTGTGTTTTCTGCTGAGTGGGATTGTTGAAATTCACACCTTCCTTTGAGAATTAAGTCCTCAATTAATTCTTCACTGCCCTATGATTTTTAATCTACAGTTTTGAGCATTTAAAGTGTTCCACTCTTTGCACACTACTCTTCCCATTGTTTTAATTATTCACTTATGTGGTTTAATTTCAAGACCACCTCAAAATGTACATTTTCTAAAACAAGTAATTGTTTATTCAATCATTTCTGTTGACATAGAGGGAAATGAAAAGCGAACAAGTGATATGTTGATACCCTTCACAGGAATATATAATCTGTCAAAGCAAACCTAATATGGCACATGCTGACTCAAGCTGCATAGTTTTAATTATTAGTATACTTATATCTGACCTTCAATTATTATCTGAAGATTCAGGCCAGGTGAATTTTACATACAAAATATGGGGGGGAATACCATCCTTCTCCTAGATGGAGAAGCAAAGAACATGAAGTGAGACTAATTATCATATTTGTATAATAGGGTCTGGATAAGTCTACCAAAACTTCAGCAGTTCCAATCCCTAGCGCTGCGTCATTATGTGAGCTCCCATTACTTGTCCCAGCTTCTGCTTCTGCCAACCTGGCAGTTTGAAAGCATGTAAAACGCAAGTAGAAAAATAGGAACCACCTTTGGTGAGAAGGTAACAGCATTCCGTGTGTCTTCAGCGTTTAGTCATGCTGGCCACATGACCACGGAGACATCTTCAGACAGCACTGGGTCTTCGGCTTTGAAACAGAAATAAGCACCACCTCCTAGAGTCAGGAACGACTAGCACATATGTGCGAGGGGAACCTTTACCTTTACCTTAAGGCTATCAATTGTATTACTAAAAACAAGGAGTGCTAAATTTTGCTTATTTTTTTTTTAAGTCATTAATGTTCGAAATAATATCTCAAGTGAATGATTTGAATAATAAAAAAAAGTGTCTTCTTGAGGCCTAATCAAGGGGAAAAGAGGCAGTAATAAGGAATTGCTTTAATTGGAGTCATTTCTAGAAGATGTTCAAATTGTAA